CTCAAGGATTTTATTTTGCAACAAACAAAAGTTAGTCCAGTTATTTTTTAAAATATTTACCTTTCTTTATAAATACTTGTTGCAAAATAAAATCCTAAAGATGAGTTTTCCTATTGTCTTTATTCATATTCTCATTTTACAGATATACTTATTTTTATTTTGCAACAAACAAAAATTTCTTATTTTTAAAATACACATAAATACAAACAAACATACATTTGCATATATACATATATATATATATGTGTGTGTGTGTGTGTGTGTGTGTGTGTGTGTGTGTGTGTGTGTGTGTGTGTGTGTGTGTGTGTGTGTGTATCCAAATAGTTTTGACATTTAAAAGAAATGAATAAAACACCAAAAGTAAAATGGAAAATAATAAATAGAACAAGAACTTGTAAAACCTGGGATGACCCATGCCATTTATGCCTACATGAAAACTACAAATTATTAAGTTTCTAAATAATGAAAATTTATTAAACCATGAACATGAGTTAGCGGTTTTTTTTGACATCAACAAATTTTCGCATTAAATAATTAGCATAAAAAAATTAAATTTCATAGTTTAATAAAAGGTTTAAATGCTTAACCCAATCATAAGATAGAAAAAGCCCTTTATGAAGTCGACAAAAAACAAATTGTAATTCAATTACGACGCGTTTATGTACGAAAAAAAAAAAATTTTAGAAAAAGTAAATAAATAAATAAAAATAAAAATAGAATAAATAAATAAATAAAATAAAATTCTTTAGACACTTAACTACGTATTATTGTGCCAACAGCTATCTTTCGCTGTGACTGACCAGACGATGTGCGTACATGAATGCCATCATTCGTTTTAAAATGGACACCCCGGCCCTCATTCTATTTTTTTTTTTGTGACCTCATTCCGAAGGTGACTGATATCTTGATACAAATTAACTCTTATACCCCTTATCAAAATGTTCGCTCCAACCGTTTCCATAGTAATTAATTTTGCGAATGAACATGCTTATAAAGTCCAAATAATGAACATGCTTATAATGTCCAAATCGTGTAACAACATGGGATAAATGTCCATCCCACAAAATGTTTAATATCTAGAACACCACTAAACGAACTGAGTTTAATTTTCTAGGTTTTCAGATCAGAGTTTTAGTCATCTTGGAACAATTTGTTGTAAGAATCACTGAAAAACCCTTTGAATTATTCAGCTGGAAAGAGAACAGGTTAAAATCGTTTTGTGTCAGACCCAGTATGTCTTCTAACTGAGCAATGGTGAGAGGAAAAGATCATTCAGGCCTTCAGTAATGGTACCAACATTCATAGTCGGGCTTCCATCTTCAAAGTTCATTCAAGAACCATCAACCATTCATGGTGAATAAGTTTTAAAAAGAGGCAGCAATAGAGAGAAAAATTGGATCCTGTGGTCAGAACAACAAGAGGGATCATCATTTCAACTTAGAGCTAAAGACATTCTTATTTTTCAAAGTAGAGTCCAATAGTGTTATAAAAACCTCAGATAATTCCAGTAATATATCTTTAATCATTTCTAAGATACAACGGTTGAAATCTTAATCTAACAATTGGACAATTTTGCTGTTACACGAGTTGGACAATTTTGGCGTTACAGTCCGTATATATTCTTAAATATGTTATTAAATTCAGCCGACAATGTTAATTTATTTTTTTTAATGTATTTTCCAATATTCAAATAAATTGATGTACATTTAAATTACGAATAATCTGTTCAAAGTCCACGTTTTCTTCTCGTTCTGTTTGAGTTGCTTTGACAGTATTGGTAATTATGAAGAATTAATTTTTATCAGTATTTTAGACAAGATGTTTTTCACTACATTTTTTAGAACGTTATATTTCAAATCAAAATATACGGCCATTGTATTAGTGACGTAATAAGTAGAAAGTTTGACAATACCAGAAACGAGCTTATAAATCACTGATACGTATTATCATTATTATTATTATTATTTTAATATATTTTATAATTATTTCTTTTGTATAACAGTTTCAACTATTTTGAGAACTTGCAATGATTCTATATAGTATTTTATATTCTATATAGTATGTTGGTATGATCTACTAATAGTTCTTTTATGTTAATAGTTATATTTTGATTGTTTGATCGATATGTGCACGAACTAAATTTCTGAGATATTTAATCTATATATACCAATGAATATTTTGCTTAATATTATAAAGAAAATCATCGTTTCTCTTCTAGTTTCATGTGCCAGTTAAAATTGCGCTTTTTATTATTTGGTTCGTTTGTGATTCTACACCATTAAATGAAAAGATTTCATTTGGGAGTTTTTATTTGTCTCGTTCGTGCATTGAAGTCGCATAAAAAACAAACCGATAAAATTCTAAAGGGACGAAACGCGTCACACGAAATATATATATATATAACCCAATAGTTAAATATAGGTAGCTATACATATACATATAAATACTCTATAGTGTAAGAAAAAGCCGTGCTCACTGTTAAGTAGCAGAGCTATTTAATATATATATACTAAGGAATATACATATATAGAAAATTGCTTCGGCTTAAAACTGGGAGTTGTGCAATTAAAGTAAGATATTGTGTTTATATTTGTTTTTTCGAAAACAATACTGGCTTTAGCTGCTTCATCTACCGAATGTCTAGCTCAGTGGTAGAAGTCTGCTGACACCAAATCGGTTGGTTTTTCGATTCTGGCTGAAATCTGATGTCTAGTCAACTAAAGCTATATGTACTGTCTGCGAATACCTTAGAAATAAATATATATATATATATATATATATGGGATAACGATTTTATGTCCGTCTACTTTATATTTTGGTTAGTGATAAATACCATTAATCCCCGTTTATTTTAATATAAAATAAAATATTTATCCTCGTTTATTATTATTATTATTATTATTATATATATATATATATATATATATATATATATATATAAACGCCGTTTATTTTAAATGCAACATATATTTTTAAAATAAAATACCGTAATCCCCGTATAATATATGGACTGCGCCAGCATTGGGTTAACCAGATATTTTTTATTAAAATTTAAATTATGTAATGTAAAGTCTCTACCCAGCACCTGCAGATTGCGTTGTGCATGAAACTCTGAGTTGTGTTGCCAGTGAGGGATAACATATATATTTACTGATATACACTTAACAGCTCTATTTCATCGAGCACTGTTTTTAACACCGGCACTCAATATGCTATACCTTAGGCACGGTGAAGTAATGGAGAACGGCTTGGATTGAAGAATCAGAGTACCGAGTTCGAATTCCATTTGAATCCATTACATTCACTTACATGTTAATACACTTGGGAAAGGTATTAATCCTCTTCTTCTCCATCCACTTCTGGATAAATAGCAGGACAGGCTGGGTTCTATAGCCTTAGATAGTAACTGGTCTAGGAGAATGACAACTCTGAATTCAAACCCTGCGGAGGGTCGATTGGGGACCTTTGTGGCGCATAGAGTAGCAGGTCTCTGTATTCGGCCCTTCAAAAAGTGTGGATGGTTCTGCAGAAAACCTTCACCACTATAATCAAATCATATGTGCTGGTGTCTGGCTGTCGGTTCCTAGGAACTGAGCTGCTTGACCATCATACGTCGAATACGACGGAGAGTAGAATATATATATATATATATATATGCTCCTGAAAATTTTATTTCGGTTGAGCTCTCTGGGGAAGGAAGTGTGGGTTTGTAAACAGTGACTATTACGGCTAATATAGCAAGACTCTTCGGTAAAGCGAATTGAGACCTCTCAGTCACTATGTGTTTATCTGGAAATAAATACGCTAAAATCCACCTTCATCCCTGCCGTGCGCCGACGGCTTAGTGGTAAAATCTCCGACTGACGCCAATTCAACCAGGTTTCGATCCTAGCTAAAGGCAAACGGATGTCTAGCAACACTGATGATACTGCGAAACAGTCTGTCTGTGGATGACAATATATTATCAGTATAAATCAAAAATCAAAATTACCATTTTTATCGAAGATTTTCGGAAGGCATGTATGCAGCTAAATATATAAAATGCTCATCTAATTTATATCTGCCTTAAGATTCCCTAACTGACAATAGATATAACAGTCATTAACGCCTATTGTCACCTGATTTGTCTGTTCATTGTTCCGAATATAAAAGAACTTGTGTATCACACAAATTGAAATGTAGTAAATATTTTAAAACTAGCAATGATACCCCGCAATGCGTGGGCCAAGCCCCTTTCTTTTGCTGTTGTGTCTAATCGATTTGTGTCTACTTAATGCTATTAATGAAACTGTCGTAATTAAAGCAATTCAATACATTAATCATTTTTGTAATCACATTAAATAACATCTGTATTGTATTAAAATATATATTTGATACATTTTTCAAATATACTATTTAAAATAAGTGAACATTACTTGCTTCCTTTTGCTGTCACACTCGGTACATATATATATATATATATATATATATATATATATATATATATATATATATATATAATGTTCACTTATTTTAAATAGTATATTCGAAAATACCATATATATATATATATATATATATATATATATGTAATGTAAAAGAAAAATTGTTCAAACCTAGTTTCTTTTTTCCTGGTTCTTCAGATAAGATGTTTAGTCATCTTAATACCATTTGTAAAATAACAGAAAAAAACTTTGAGTTATTCAACTAGAAAGAGACCAGGTTAAAATTCGTTTTGTGTCAACCCACTGTCTTCTGAACTGATCAATGGTGAGAGGAAAAATATCCTTCAGGCCTTCACTGTATGGTACCAACATTCGTACTCTGACTTTCATCTTCAAAGTCTATTCAAGAACTATGAAGAGAATGGTGAATAAGTTTTAAAAAGAAGGAACAGTCGAGAGGAAAACTGGATCAGGTGGTCGCAACAGGAAGAAATTACACAGTTTTTGCTGTTACACGGCTTGGATAATTTTGCTGTTACATTCGGTATATACAACCGTTTCCTCAGATCAATGATT